TATGACTGATGATCTCTTTTCTGTGGTAGTTCATCTTGTAGTGATGGGTAGACATTTGTATGCCCATTCCCTTTGGCTACCTGTTCACCTGAATGGTAGCACCATGAACAGCCATGTCTACCATTATATTGCGTTAGTTCTTGTAGCTGACATCTTGCTACGCTTTCGCATGTTAATGCACCTGGGAAAACTTTTCGTGTTATAATATTTCCATCTTCATCTTCTAAGTTCAAACCAACAGAGCTCAGAACATTTAATTCCTCTATGACGGGTTTTAAGAATGTAGGAAAGTGTGGTTTTCCATTCCCAAACCACAAACCACCCATAAGAACATGCTTTCTTCTCAGCGGGTAAGGTAATTCATTAACCATCATTGTCAATGGCCATATGGAGTAGCTGGAAGATTTAAATATTGCTGCCCCATCAGAACCCCATGTGATGCTTATGTCATGATTTCCCATTTGCAAATTCTTGTAGCATTTTGCATTATGGAATTCAGAATTCTCTTTTTCTTAGTTTTGACCTTACAGAAGAGTCTTCTAAGAGGCACTGAATTTGATTGCTTATGCTAAATACAACAAAATAGTTAGATGCAGCCAGACTTTGTTTAAAGTTCCAACGTAACCGCAAGAGGCATCACAATAAACATGTAATTAAGGTTCTGCACAGACTCCATCAAAAGCTTTGTTGAATACATACTTTGAACGAGGAAAATGTGTGCCTTCTGGTAGGTGGTAACGAATTACCTTCAGCATGCTATCTAGTTCTTCTTGACTATTCCCAAAACGAAGAAAGTGCGCCATAATTAGAAGTAGGCTATCTTTTTTTGTTAATTGGGCTCCTTCATATAGCAAATCATCATCCTGAAAAGAAAAATGTGTAAAGTAATGTATAGTGTACAGTATTTTTTGCAATGCATAGCTGAAATTAAAAGACATGTAAAAGTTGTGTATAATTGTGTCCAAATAGTTACTATTAACTATTAATGAATGAAGAAATAACCATAATAAAAGTATGTTAAAATTCAAAAAGTAAAGACTTATTAAGAACAGTCAGATATAATTGAAACCAGACCGACCGATGTCCCTATGCAATGAATTTTTTTTTTAGGCCAAGCCTAGGCATAATGTTGAATAAGCACTAGCTTAAACTACTAGGCCTAGAGTAAAAGTCAAGACAAAATGTAAAATTATCTTTTCTGCTCATGAAATTGTATTGGTGATGTGGTTTGCCATCGGCGTTTTTGTATTTGTTAATGAACTTAAATGTCGCTGATTTGAGAGAACCAAAGAGTTATTACTAATAACGTGGCCTCGTTCATATGGGGCGGAACGACCTGAGACGACATGATCGCCAGTGGAAGCCTCTCTGATCCAGTCATCTAGACGCGTATACCATCGTACTAAAATCATAAGACTATAGTCACAAACAACTACAAGTCACCTCTAAGCTACGGTAGGCTTTGATGTTATTCAGTGCAAATTACATGCTGTTGTAGCTAAATAAAAGTGTCGAATTTGACAAGGCTAGGCCTAGGCCTGCTTTGCTCATCTCTAGGAATGGATAGTCATGGCAAGCCCTGTGGTAACTGGCAGTTTGTAGGCTATATCCATGACGCAATGGCTCGCTACTGCCGATTCACTGTTGTGGTGTGTTGCATTGTGGGTTGGTGAAATGTGATCGCAGAGAGCCAACGAGCCTAGGCCTGAATTTGGTTTGCCTACATTAGATGGCCTACAACGCAACCAATCGCGGTAAGCGGAAACGGTTAGCGTGAAAGAACAGCCGAAGTTTACTGAAGTAGAAGCTATTAATTTAAGTCGTCTTTTGAGACTGTAACATATATTTTAGCATTTAATTTGTGCACACTTGATATTAGGCATGTGATTTCTGGATTAGTGACCAGTAAATTTTTATACCAGTAATACAAAAAAAACTACCTCAATACAATACAGATTCCTAAGCCATTGTAACATTTTTGGAGAGGTATTGTAGTTGAATCTCGCTTAGGAAAGCTACCAGCTAGGTCCCGAAACCCAAGTTTATGATTCTCTGAAAGATGTACCGCTTTCGACCAGTACTGTATGTACTAGGGTTTTTACTGTACATCAAACAAATCTACTGTACCTTATCAGATTCTTCTTCATCATCAACCTCATCATGACTGTCATCATTACTTGTTGCATCATTATCATCATTATAATGGTTGACAGAAGGATTAGTTGTTGATCTGACAGTTTCCACAACCTTTATAGAAACAAAACCCAAACATACTATTAAAAAAACATCTGCTATTGAATACAATTTTCATTTTTATCAAAGTAGTTTAATTTCAATTTTATAGCAAAAATACTACACAACTTCAAATCATCTAGTTAGGCCCTATTTTATTAGTACAGTAATCATGAATTTTCACAACAATATAAACACTAAAATTAGAACCTTGGAATTTAGATTAAAATTATCACAATAACATGCAACAACAAAAGCCCCTAGTTTGCAATTGCAGTAATACTAGCCTATTATGGGGCTAGGCCTATACCAATAAGAAATAGATGAATGCAAATAATATTATTATAAATTCAACTTACTTAGCCCTGGCCCTACTGCTGTCAATTTGATTATCTACAAGTTGCGTCACAGGCCTACTACTAGTAGAAGGCAGGATGATGGACGTTGATGACACCTCATCAGAGCTGCTAATACTACTACTTATTACAGCTCCAACTGTTTCACAATTTCCCCTTTTACGTTCTCTTCTATATTTCGATCGTCTTGGAACACTTGAAGCATTCCACAAGTACGATTTGAAGCGCTTTCTATTCATGAAAATAAATGATCGTACGATCACTATAAAAAAACTAAGCCTGGCGCCCATGTGATTCCATACCCAACCAACCAGACACAACAGAGATCAAAGTTTCTATCATGCGCAATTAGAGTAATAATTGTCTCAAAAACAAACTGAATCTCTGACTTATCAAAATGTGTGTAATATTACAGTATTACTAAAAAAAAAACACTTTACTATATGTAAGGTTTTTATATAATTAGAAATATTTGAGGTTTTCTTTTTGTCCGATACAAATAAAGGCGTACCAAACTAAATGCCCATAGACGAAAATTTTATTCATTATTTTTGCTGCTTTCTGATTGGCTGCCAGTCATTTGTCGAGCAGAGAAAAACATATTCAACCAATCAACGCCTAGTAATTTTATCGGTATTCTAGCTCTACTATTGAGCAATGGCGAGGTTGAGCATGGTGTCGGAAGGATCCTTGTGGCTTAGCAAAATGAATATTTTACAAGTAAGATATTATTAATCGTTTTTTTGTTTATTAAATTTAAGTACTGTAAATGGAAATCAAAAAAGCAATTATAGTAATGCATGATTCATAAATTAATAGATTCATGATTGCCGTTGTAACAGGATCGACCCCTGTGGATAGTGGTATATTCCA